AAGGAAGTATTTCCCTCCTTGCCCAATTTTGATTTTTCCAAATGGCAGCGTGACACCAGCTGGAGCCAGCAGGCAGCCCCCCTGTCTGCACGTTGATTCTCCACCGGTCATTCAGCACGTTGTAGACGAATGGTGGTAAGGGAGGGATAGGGTACTGGGAATCATTTTCAAAATAATTTACATCTCCCAGTTCCATTTGTCAGAAAAAACAGGAGCAATTCAGACACACATTGGAAGAACTTGCAAACACACTAAAAGGCCCCCAGTATAGCAGTTTTTTCACCTGCACTCAATTAGGAGTTTACTTTACTATGTTTGGCTTTGAGATGGTGGGATGGACTGGGGTTCTTTTTGAGCATTCTACAAAAAACGTTATCTTGGAATTTGGTCGCTTTGGAGGGCGCAAGTCACTTCTTTTGGAGAAGCTTTGCACATAATCTAGTTTGAGGAGGTTGTTTCAACTATATCCCAGAATCTAGCATCTTGGTTGTTCTTTCTTACATGACAAGGTGTTCTCGTGACTGACAGTTATGTACCACATTTGCACGAGAAGGGCTTGGAAAAACACCGACTCCAGTCGGCTGCACATCTGTTGTCTGATATCAATAACATTTCACGATTTGCTCTCTGGAGGGGACAGTTTCCGAGATCTGAATATTTTAAACCAAATTCAATATCTGATTTTTATCTCATAAAATGTCTTTTCAATTGTCCATGTTTAATTGATTGTCTGTTGTTATCTGCACACACAGGCATGAATGTGTATCTCCTAATCTTTATCGGTACGCGTTGTGTGAGACATACCCAGCATGTGACTGTGGTGATGTTATCCCACAGAGAAATGTCTAGAGAATGTCTCTCCCTATTCAAGGAACAGTTGCTGTGGAAACCTGATCGACGGAGGACTCTTGGTCATCTCTGTGATACGATGTGAGATGAAAAGTCCTATTAAAAATCTTACTTCCTTGCATATCTTGTCTGGCTCTCTGTTATACCAACCCTAACTAGCACGTGTGCTCACACTATTGCACTGACTCGTGAACACAGCCCAGTCAGCACGTGGTGGGAACGCTGGCAATCCACGAGGACACCATATATCCAGTATATATTACATAAAGTCAAACAAAAACCCCAAAACATTTAAATTAGATCATTTAGATATGTATTTGCTTGAAAATGTAGATCTTTTTATGTTAATTAAGACACTCACTGATGATTAAAATCTTAATATGTAAAATTTCAATAGGTCCTGTAGTTGTTTCTCATTTTATTCTTATGTGTTTATTAGATATCTGCATGACGATGTGCTAATGTACTGAGGCAGTTTGAGTGGCTAATTGTCATTTCTCACCACAACAAACAAGTGGATATAAAGGTAAATTAAGGATTCCTATTTTCCAGAAGTTACAGTTACAGAGATTAATCTGTAACTCACATGATGTATTTATATTACCAGTTGGAATATGTTTACTAAAGACAACAAATGGATTTGGATTTGATCAAGCACTTTATTGGCAAGCAGTTGGTAACACTAAAAAACACAGAATCTCATTTACAAGAAAGGGGAAAGCTGAATTAATCATTTTCCAACACATTATGAAGCACATTATGAAGCTTAATCCTATTTACAGCTTTGGAGAGAAATTACATTGACCAGGAAATACCTGGTCTAAGTGTCTCTATAACATGTTCAATTTGAATTGTGATCTCACTGTTGTGACCTGTGAACACAGAAAAATTAACAAAAGGCCCCATTAGTACAATTCTGAACGTAGTAGCGGACATGTAAATTTCGTATGTGATCATACAGCTAAAAGTGGTCAGAGGACAGTTTTAAATCAAGCTTTTCAATTGATCGGTGCCTGTCTACCATTAACTGTAAATGCTCTGAATTACAGGATTTTAGTGGAAGGAATGCAGAGAGCAATGAGTGAGAGACATGCGTACTCATGTCATCTGAAATGTTCTCACGCAACTGAAAGAATTGCTCCCATGTGTGGTAGATTTGGAAAGAGTGCGTGAGAGCTACAAATGATTATCGAAGTTTGAGCCAAAGGGTTCAGTGACACAGTTGTGACTAAGAAAATGGAAACAGAAACAACTTCACAACAGAAAAGGGTTAGACGGCGTTGCTGGTGTCAGCAGTTAAGGCAGCTGATTAGTTTCTTATGTCTGCTCATTTTAGAGGTTGAAATTGTTATGTAACTCTTTCTGTCCTAAAACTACTTCACCACATAAAATGACAAATCAATTTAGTAGTCCTTTTATGTGGTGAAGTAGTTTGAGGTACATAGACCTTTTACTTTTCCTTATGAAAGTTTACGCTGATTAGATCTTTTTGTTTCAGTCTGAAATTATTAATGCACTAATAATTCCCCTTTTCTTTTTCCAAAATGATCTCCCTTAGATGCTTCAATGACTCTTCATGCCGATAACCAGTAGCTCAGCTCATCACTTTTAACATTGTATTCCTGTGAAAGCAGTGGCAGTATTTAACCCAGCTGACCCTTCAGCCAGCTGAAAAACCACAATGACGCAAAACTTGGATGGATGGTTAACTCTCTGTGGTCAGAGCTCGTTGCTGCTGTTAAAAAAATACACAGGCAAAAAAGAAAAATGCGTATCAATGATGTCTCAATTAGTTGACAATAATTTGAGTCTCTCCCTGACGAGTCAGTTTAAAGAAAAATAAATGCCCATACATTATGACAAAACAGACTTCTTAACTATATTCATGATGGTGTTTTCCATTCTCATTCACAGAAACCTCAACTAATGTACAAAAGTATTATTTGTATTATTTCATTGCGTCTAATTCAGCGATTTGATCTTTCTTAGTAGAAGAACAGTTGATTACCAAAATACTTCATGTAGACAACACTAGTGAAAGGAAATCTGAAAGCTTGTGTGTAGGAAAAGCTGGAAAGCTTGATAGGTCCGCATTTGCCTCACCATGGCAAAACAGCATTGCATGAGGTCATATTTGATTACATGCAATGTCAATGCAGCCTCATTGTGCAGCATCCAGCTTGAAGGAGTTACATCAGTTGCTGTCTCCCACTGAATGCTTGTGAAAAATGTTTTTTACTGTGCAAATTAACCAGTCTATTTTCTTAAACCAGTCACTGATATCTGTTAATATCTAAAAATGAGCCAAATGACATTTTGTGGACAATTCCAGCATTAAGCTCTTTCTTTTTCTATCTTGATCAAATTAGGTTTTTGGTTATGTTTTGGTGCCAGAAAAAAAAAGAAAGAAAATAAACACCTGCTCACAACTTTGCGTATTCTTGGGTGAAAATGTCCTTTTCTGGTTCACATTTGTTGACATAATATGCATGAAATGTAAATGGACACGGGTGACCACCATAACATATACTTCTCACTCGTCTGGTTAAAGTTACAATGTGCCTACATGACACTACACATCTTCGGGTTTTTTCAATGAAGTCATTCTTATTCCTTTGTAAGGTGAAGCGTCAACAGAGAGTTCTCAGGCCCGGAGCCAGTGCACTATTACCACCCATGAAAGCCATTTCCTTGTCTAAGCTGAAAATATCTCATCTTTCCTTTGTGTCACTTTGGGGAGAAGTTAAGTTATGTCATTTGTGTGGAAATGCTGCAGGACAGTTTACTCCATTTTTAGCTTTATTAGGTAACTCAGTCATCCCAGTAGGCCTCTGTGCCTCTGTAAAGGAATGACAGGAGAGGGCTCCTGTCCCATATGTAAAGAATGTGCGTAAGAAGCTTCCATCAAATTGGAATTCTTCATTTTACTAGGTCATGTCAGAGCCAAGGTGAGGTAAGACCTTTTCACTGAGAAGAAGGAGATTGCCACAATAAGGCACAGAAAGTAAGAGAAGATTATCCAGTCTTAAAGCAGACACCTACACATGAACGTTCAAGGATGTAAGCTAAGAAGAAATCAGAAAAAACTGATGTGGAGGGAATAAAAAGGTGCTTCATGACAAATGTAATATTTGATGGAATGGTAAATTGCAGCTGAGCTTCTTAAGTAAGTCATTGTGAAACCCTGTGATAAACAGATCAAGGGTCACCAAGGGAAATAATGTTCCTCATGTCATGGAGTTTAAAGTTGTTTAGGTTCTCAATGGTCTGTAATTGAGCCAAGTTCCAGTGAAATTTCCTATCTCAAAATAGTTATTGGTACTCATTCACTTGAGTGAAAAAAATATACGAATATTTTTCACATCTTATTTGTTAAAGAGGTTTTTTGTTTGTGTATTGATGTATTTCTCTTCATAGCTGTTTTAAAATATTGAAAGGAGGAACAAAACATGCCACAATAGTAGCACTGTCTGATATTTGACTGACCATCACTAAAAGGTTATTGTTATGTTGGGAAAAGGCTTCAGATCGTGTGTGTGGATATATGAAAGTATGCAGCATTATGTCACCTCACTGTGCACATCTGTAAGGTTGTGTGTCTGTGGGCCTTTGTGCTGAGGCCGTGTCACACTGTGTTCACGTCTCAACACATTAAAGCCAAATCTCTTTGATGATGCAGTTGATGGTCTATTTTTGATTGCCTTTGGTCCTCTTGCTTTCCTTAGTTTACTTGTATCTAATAAACTTTTGTGGTTTCAAACTTTCAACTAACTTACTAGACATTTCTTTATTTGCTAAATTTAGTTAAACAATATTTATTTCTTACTAAAAAGTCAGTGGAATGCATTTAAGTTAATCTAGAGAGTTAAAATCAGTCTTATGTGTTGGACTGTGATGTTGTATTATGGTTAGTGGTAACTGTAGAAGTATTTCTAGTGTTATTTAGTAAGTTGTTTATGATCTGTCTATCATCTGTAGTCTTGCAGCAACACCGCCTGCAGGGACCTCTGGTCACACTCACAGACCATTGTCAGCACAGTTTTGCATAGATGCCTTTATAATGCAACAGGACCCAGGTGCTCAGAAATTGTAAATATATGTTTAGTGTGTGCTTGTGTATTGCAAGGCAGCCTAATGAAACATGACAAACATGTGTGAACCCACCAGAAGCATGACGGTGACCCAGTTTATTTTTCACAGCCATTGTGGGGGAGATAAGGCCATAAGGGAGAAAAATGCAGAGAGAATATATTCATGCTTTTCTTTTAATCACTTCATAGAAAAAGTATTCAGATTTAGTTTTTAACACAATTTACAATACAATACATTGTGTAAAACATTTAATAACCCACTTCCAACAGGTGGTGGACTTGAACATATTTGACAACTTAAAAAATAGAAAAAGAAAAAAAAATGCATGCAGATAGTACTAAATCTGGCTAACCAACTGGACACAAGGACCTAAAAAAACAAAAAAGCTTGAACATAGATAATGTTAATACTGACAAATTTCAGAACTGCTAACAAGTTTGGTCAGAAAAGTTTACACAGTAGCACAATCAGTTACATCAGGTTGTGTTTTATCCTTGACAATTCACGTCAGTGTTGGGCGTATTGTAGCATGCTACCAATACAGTCCTCTAATTTTACATGAAGTGCATTAAGTGTAGAAGGAGACCATGACTTGATATTTGTCAGTAAAACTTGTTTCTGGCCTGGTATATCAGCAATAATTCCAATGCTTGATAGAGAAGCTTAAGTTAAAACAAGCTCCTCAAAGAAAATTAAGCTATGTGTTCACTTCAACAAAGCATTCAGTGTTCCTTCACTAACTTATAGATCCTATATCCAAGCCTATGCCATTTCATTTTATCCTCTGTGTCACCTTTGGTTTACCATATTGCTGGTGTCAGATGAAAACCTTGTAGTCAGTGTGGTGAAAACTCTTTAACCATAAGGAAAAAAACAATTCGTGGATGCCTGGCTGTTTCTTAAGAAATATGAAGAAGAAGAAAAAGATGACAACATTTTTGGTTTAATGTCAATGTGTCATGGTAATATTTAAGATTTTCCCTTTATGTGAAAGATAAAAAAAAATCAATATTCTTATAATCTATTAGTAAAGTTGTCTTTTTTACAAGGTTCTCAAATGACAACCTGCCACTACCTGCTGCTCTGCTGGGCACTCAAAATGTTGTGTGAATATATACCTATATATCTATATTTATATAAAAACAATATATAATACATTTATAAAAAAAAGACTCTAATCCAGAGTCTTCTACACATCAGACACCACCACTTCCAGGTAATGCAAGTGCATATAAATTAAAATAGATTTTACACTGAACCAGTATATCTTATTTACAAGCTTAAAGTGTAGAATAAATACACTGTTATAAACAGCAAAAAGGACCAACTTGAGCTCATAGCGACAAACAGTGAAGACAAAGGTGAGGAGAGATGTTGGATAAGGCCTGATCCAGACACGCACACAAAGAGACACGCTTCCATGAGAAACACATGTACTGCTCACAAATGACTGCCACTTAAGCGTGTTGTCCAGAAAATCAATGGAGTACCTTTGAGTATCAGTAAACTTGAATGAAAAGCCAGAGGTCTGCAAAACATTTTTAAACCATGCTCTGTGGCGTTAATGATGAAATAAAAAGATGCAAAAGTGAGCATGCATTAGTTTTCTTTTCTTTTCCTGTTTTAAGACGGATGCATTCCATGCAAAATCCAGCGATTCTGCCAATGCAAAATCCTAATAGCTGGACTGACCTGGAAACCTAATACAGCAGAGGCTGACGGGGAAATTTCATTTGACGTCAATGAACAGAAGCACAGGGATTATTATCGTTAAAAAAAAACGTCCGGCCTAATTATTTTGGGGTCGTCCTCGTGGAACCCCAAGGGTTTTGTAACCATGTGAATCCTGGGAATGCTATGAGTCTGATAGCGCCTTTAAGACAGGTCATTGAAAGAGCACCTTTCATCATCTGGTCTGGGCCTGATTGCAAAGGGGCACGGGGGCGTTACATCAGACAGATCTGGGGTCTGAACCTTTTCCAACTAACAATTTTAAAAATAGACTCACTGCTCTTGAGTTTTTTGTCCTTGGCAGACGAGTTATTTTATCATTGATCTGAAAAGACTGCTGTCTGAGTGTATTCTGACTTTCTATTCACACCTAAATAAAATCACAAATTAGATTTTTGGTATGAAACTGTAGAAAAGCCCAATGGTTTCCTGACCCCATAAGAAAAAAAGAGATGTATCAAAAGTATACAAATAGTCATGATGTGACCCTGACATTCAGTGGCTGATGTTTTACACAGAAAGGAAATAAAACATAGCATGAACCATGATTGGACATTATTGTTTGAGTTCCACATACAAAGAAAAACTTGTGCTCAGATTGGGAAAAAAAAAAAAACTTGTGTTATGCTTCGCATTTACTGTGGATGAGTTTGTCGACATTTGTTTTGATTTCTCTATTGCCCAATAAATGGAAGACTTATCTTTTTAACATAGAAAAAGATTTTTCTTATTTTAGTTGAAGAAAAGAAAAACATTTCACAGAGACACTAGAGTGTTCAATAAATAAAAAACTATATAAAGACAATAGTAAAAAAAGGCACACAACAGTCCTTTGACAAATGGTACAGAAAAAAAGTAAACACTTTCTCTTGCTATACAAATCTGTATCCATCAGTAGATCTTACTCTATGCTACTTCTAGATCATATATTTGTAAAAAAAAAAAGTCTTAAGGTACAAAACTTCTTTCAGTAGTGTCAATATCCATTTAACGCCAGTCCAGAACAGACAAGGAACTGATTTTCTGCACTGGCTGAAATCCTTCAAGTTCCACTCTTGCCTGTCCATCCAGACTCAAATGTTCGCAGTATCTAATTCCTGAGAACTCTGAAGCCGCCTTTCTGAAACTGTCCTTCCATGTCTGGCTTCAAACACCCAAGTGCAAGATGCCCCCGTGTGGGCTAAAACTAAGCCTTTGCTTCTGTGGGCTTCATAAAAAGCACAGCGGCAAGAGGATATTGCCTCTTTTCCAAAAAACTTTCGAATCACCGCGTGATCCTGGTCATTGAAGCCCTATGTGTCTGTGGGCGATGCCTCATGTGTCACAATCTCTATTGCCATTGTGGGCTCAATCGTGGTGCCGTCGACAGGTTCCTGACTTTCCAAATAACCAGGGGGAGGAGAGTGAGGTTCTCCAAGACTGTCCTCATCTTCCTCTAACTCTTCCTCCTCTTCTTCATCTCCTTCCCCATCTTTCTCTATTCCATCCAAGTCCTCCTCCTCCAGGGTCAAGTCAAATTGGAATTTCTCTCCTCCGCCCTGTCCTCCCGTTCCTCCACCATGTCCGTGAGTGCCCTGGTCGTAGAAAGGCGGGGAGGGACTCTGAGGAATCATGCTCTGGTACCAGTTCCTGTTGTCCTCTAAAGTGTCCAGAATATCCTGGGCGTCGGGGTGTACCAGATCGGCCCAAGTCTCCCACAGAGGATGGACAATGTAGTCGATGAAACCCACCTGGAAGAGACAAATGCGTGTTAAACATTTCTCTGCAAGTTTAGTAAAATCCCATTTTTACACGTTTGCAGTTGCTGTCGTGTCGCATACCTGGCTCTTCTCCACAGAGGCTGTGTGCTTATCACACATGGGGCTGATCTCCATCCCCCTCTCTCTCTCTCTGTCTCCCTGGTGGAAGAACTCCTCCATTATCCGGTCCGTCCACTGACGATACAACTCCAAAGATTTTGTGGGGTTACTCAGATCAGCACAATGCACCATGTTACGCAGCACCTGTAAATGTTGAATAGTGGCTTTTAGTAATAGACATATTTGTGAGTAGATGATTGAAGATCTAATGTTAAAGGTATTTATTTTATGACCCTTGGTCAAGAAGGAATGCATACCTGTATCCTGTCGGTGTAATTGTCTAGCAGCAGAACTCCAGAGCTTGTCACCTTCTTTGTCTCCACCATTGTCTTCAGATCAGCCAGCAGACTCATGTGTTTGGACATATCAGTGGCTAAAACCTGAATTAAAGAGGGCGTGAGCAACAATAACGGTTTAGCATTGTACAGGAATTTTCTTTTCATTAAAAGAAGAACAGATCAATAAGTGCTCCCGGATCTCTTACCATGTCAATGACCATTTTGCGCAGGGACTGCCGCTGCTTCTTTGTGAGGTTCTGGAAGATATCACAGTTGTCTTCCTGTAGCAGCTTGAAGCCCACAGCCAAATGATGGTTCTCCAGCACTGACTCGTCGTTGTACATCAGGGCTAGTTCTGAGTCTGCACAGTGAGTAAAAGTTTTGCTAAGTGAGCTGGAATGCAGTCAAATGCTCTGATTTCTCTTACACAAATCTGAATGTGCATTGCATTAATAAATAAATATTTTGAACTTACTGGTATTAATAAGGAATTGGTTTGATACTCCGGGATGATCAACATCATGGATAGCTGCAGCAAAAATGGCTGCAAGAATCTCAAGATCTGTGAAGACCGCCTGTGAAAGAGACATGGAACAGGTTCAAACAACTAAAACAGAAAAATATGCACTTTCGGCGGGGGGATCCTGTCAAATGTCGAATGTAACGAATTAAAACATCTAGATTGTATCCCTAATGTAACAGATCAGATGTCATGTTTTGCTTTTAAGGTTAGAAACCCAAAAATCCATTTAAAAAAGAATTAATTGTTAATGTAGCTATCCAGGAAAAACACACATGGGCTGATGCAGACATTCAATCCTATAATTAACTGTCCCCTATCTCTCTGGATGTCCCGCAACAGAAATCCCAAAACAGAAAAGTTTTCAATGCAGAGCGGAGGAATAGATTATGTCCGATACTGAAATCTCACTCTGATGCAGACTAAATATATATACCTTCAGATAAATACTTACATCAAGGGCGGGAGTGGAGAGAAGGATGTGGGTTGACTGGGCTACGTCTGCAGCATGCAGACTGTTATGGTAGGCCACATCTGAATGGTAGTGATCTTCCAAAGTCATCATATAGGCCACAAATGTGTCCACTGGGATCTTAAATGTCTTTAACAGGTCACGCTCCTGGAAATGAAGACAGAACTCTAGCTTTAGAACAGTTTTGGGTCAATGTATGTAATCTGGAAAGTAATCTTTAAAAAAGGTACTTGTGTAAGCAAAGACACAATGGAGCCCTTTGTGTCATGCATGCAATTTAAAACAACTAAACGTAGGATGCTCATACCTGGAAGATGGCGTACATGATACAGGTGAGAGGTCGGTTGTTGGAATATTCTGAAACGGTGAAGATGTTCAGGCCCCATTTGTTCAGGTCCTCAAGTTCCTTGGACAACAGCTCCTCCTTATCGGTTTTGACCCCGAAGCGAGAAATGCTGCTGCTGGACAATGAGGGCCCGTGAGAAACCTTCTTGACCCCACTGATCTGTGTCATCAGCTGCTGCTTCTGCTGCTTCTTCTTCTCTCGTGTCTTCGACGTGGGTGATGGAATCTCCACCTCATTCTGTTTGTCTGTGGGACGAGAAATATTCAATATTCTTTATTTTTTGTTAGTTCTGTTTTGTTTTTCACACTAAGAAAATTCTGGGCTCATAATGAAGTCCAGGGATCCAGGTGCATTGCAGAGGTTGGTGTATGAGGGGTCGACTGATTCTCTCACTTTCATCATACAGCCTCTCATTCTCTTTTATCCCCATTCATGCTCATCCACCTGCAGGATCATTCTGAGTTCCGAGTGTTCATTTGTTTCCCTCCCTTCCTGAGCTGCACCCTACCCAGTCTTACCAAGTCTCACAGCAGGTGGCTCATATATCATCCTGTGGTCACTTCACGATCATACAGTAGTTCATTGATAGACTCAAACCTTGGGCTTCGACAACAGGTGAGGCACAGCTACGCTGTATGCAGTTGTGTTACTTTGTAATAAAAATTTTACGACCACGTATTCTGCCGAGCATTGAATAACTCTTTTTACTACATTTGAACAAGCAGAATATAAACTAACTTTAGAAAACACTGAAATCCTGCAAGAGATTCATTGTAAATATGCGTAAAAAAAAAAAAAGATAATCTTAAATGTCAGTCTTGATGCTATGAAGAAACACAATTCATGCTGAGTATCTTAATAACAGCACAGGATTGTGTTTATTGTAGTCAGTAGAATTGATTGAGATCCTGGGGGACTGGCTGTCTTCATGTATGTGAGCAGTGGACTCATCTATCAAGCCTCGACTCGGCTCATCGCTGGCCTATCAGCCTTCCCCCGTGGAGCGTTATTCAATTACCAGCTGTAATTCAAATAATCACTTTCACTCATGCTCGCTCTCTCTCACAAAGTCGTATCTGCCTTTCTCTCTGCCTCCCTTTCTGCTCTGTTCTGTCCTGGTAATAGAGAATGGGCAATTAAGAACTCTCAAATGTGTTACATGGGAAGCAGGGGGAAGAGCAATATGTCACCTTCTAATTTATTACAACTCCAGATCATCAACATCACTGTATGGCATTTGACCTATATACAATAAGTGCAACACAAGCTTCATCCACCTCTATTTTCTTCTACACAATTGTCCACATGAATTAAACTCTCTCCTGTGGTAGATACCGACATATCAGAGATGTTGTGAATGATGAGGCTTTCTTTTTTTTAGGCAAGGTGTTTTTTTTTCTCGGCTGACCCGATAAAATGATGTCTGTTTGGACAGCAGTGGCAAGGAAAAAAAGGGAAAATATGAATGGCCTGTACGGAGCAGATGGTCTGTCACGTACTGATATAGATTTGTGCTATTTATAAAATGACCTTTACAGATCCAGGCCTTTGACATGAACATTTAATTTCTTTGATCTTGAATCAATGCTTTTATGAAGATAATATACAGGAGAAATAAGTGCAATACTGATGCGCTAGTAATTCTAATGGATGGATGGATGGCTTTAACAGGTCATTCCAGGCCACCTGTGCTGCTTCAGCCATTTTGGCCCTTCTCATTAATGTTTACCTGCTCTCTTTTTTTCCTACTGCCAACAGGGTCATCCTCAGCTCTAAGCAATAGCTGTCTCTGTCTGTTCTCACATCAGTGGGCTGAGGGGTAGGGGGGGGTTAAAGGGACGACAAGGTGTCCCTGCTGACAGCGATGCATTCAGATGGGGATGAGTCACTGAATATGCCAAGCTTATCTCATTGCCAGTGAAGGGGGTTCCTCTTCACCTCTTTTTTTTGTCTCTGCCTCTAGCTCCCTCCCTGAGTTGTTTTTCAGGAATATATTACCTTGCTTATGCTGTCCAAGTACAATGACATTATTTTCTGGTCTAATCTTTAGCTTTATGTACTCAACTCAATTGTATTTTATCATTATTATTTCTTAAAACTTAAAATTGTGGTTCAATGCCTTCATTGTGGTGTGCTATATATAGGTGGTAAATGCAAAAGCAGATATAATGTCTCTCAAACTGAGGGAATTTGTCTAAATTCCGCTCCATTTATTCCCAGATCTTAAAGGTGGAACCGATGCATTTTCCAAAATCCCCTTCTAATTAAGAAATCCCCTTTTCTTAAATCAATTTACCCCCATTACAAAATGACCAATAAATAAGATATGAATGTCTCATTTCTTAAAAGATATATATTTTTCCCCTTAAATTTTGAAGACCTCTTAACTGAGATCTGGTAAACATCTCGACAAAGCTTCATGGCGCAGTATTTTTTTCATGGTACGCCCCCACAGTGGAGCCAACCAGAACAACTTGCACTGCTCAACAACATGAGAAAGACTCAAAATATTGCAGCAAAGCAAAATAAAAATTGGAATCTCTGGGAGCCAATTAATATTTGGATTTTATATATATTATTAACTGGTGAACATGCGAACAACATCCTATTTATAATCTCAATAAAGGGGGATCATAAATAATAATATTATTGCAATCACTTGTTTATTTTTGTGAGCTCATGGAGAACATTTACCTAAGAAAGTGTTGGAGATGAATTCGGAAACCTGATTCCCAGACCGACTCATCTCAGATAGGTGCGTCAACTCTCGATTCAACATTCTCTTGAACTGCAGGAGAGAAAAAGAAGAGGAGGGGGAGAGAGAAATATGTCGTCATTTTCCACTTAGGGGGAAAACCTGGGAAAAATTATAGTACAGGATTCCACGGAAAAAATACACCAGTTCCCAGTCCCATACCACCCGGTCAAGAATATATTTTAATTACAGTTCACAATCAGTGAGGGACACAGCAGGTTTCCCCCTCCATTTGCCCTGGAATCAATTATGATGCAGATGATTATTTGTGTTTCCAGTGAGGAGGCCATCAGTTTTAATGCCTCTAAAATTACCCACAGGAAGCAATTTTAACTTTGATTACACAGAATCATTTCTGGGGCCTATCTGGCTGTTTGGCTTGTATCAGTGTACAGGAATTTTTTAACCTGCACACTGCTCACAACATCCTAACGTGTTTCTGTAAATTTCTGTATTGTTTCTATTTTAAATTCATAAAGTGACCCAATCAACAGATGCATTTGAAAGTACATGGGGACATACACACTGCAGCAGGTGTTTATGACAGACTGATGAAAGCGCGTGCACTGGCATGCACACAGACATACAGACACATAGCTCTGCAGAGGGCTCAAGATGGAGCCTGAGCCTCAAAACACCATTCTGTCAGATCCCCCCTATCCCCCCCCCTCCATCTCTACCCTGATGAGGAAAATATATTTTGCTGCAATGAGGCTGGAACAGTTCCCTTAAATGAAAAATGTAAATGTAACATCCCCCTTAAATGCAACCGATGTTATCCACATGTCTTTAAAATAAGGGAGCACAGCACAGAGGTCTGATGAAATGAGTGAGGTATCCCGACAAGTTACGTAGGTAAGCGCCACACACCTTAATGTAACCCCAAGACACTGACAGCAGGTAATTAGCTTCAGGCATTTTGGACCCCTTTGTCTCGTTCCTACACAAAGCCAGAACTGTAATCCAACAGGAAAAAAATGAGAAAGACGAACAGGATTCTTTCAGCACCAAAAAAATCCCCTCTTCTCTCTTCAGCAGCAAAAAGAGCAGCTTAATGGTGGCTCAATCTCCTTATTAGTTGCAAAAAAGGGCCAGCTTTGAGTCTCCATGCCTCCAAATGTAAGGGTGGTTGGTTGGCTATGATGAAAATGGGGTTGCGGTAGCCAGAGGAGATCCAGAGGGCTCGGTGGAGCAGCGGCAGCTGGAGCCGTGAGCTGGGGACTCTCAGCGCACTGATGAATAATGGAGAGGAAGCAAGGATGGGAGGAGGGGAAAAACACAGCGATGGAGACAGGAGGAGGTGGAGAAGGAGGAGGGAGTGAGGCAGCGATGTTCATCTGACTAGAGGGGGGGTTCCTCCACTGGATTTGTCTCGCTTCCCTGCCCTCACTCCCCCGCCGTCTCTGCTTCTCCATCTTTCTCTCCACGATTTCCCCCCTTTTTGCTTCCTCTCATCTCTTTATCCCCAGTTACATTCTGTTAGCCCCAGCAACACACTCGAGTCTAAACACATGATTTTACAAAAATGGGGAGAAGGGGGAGTCCTAATTACAGCTGATCTATGATGTCTTTACATTTTTTAAGGAGTTTATCAGTGACATAAAATATTTCTATTAAAACTCCAGATGCCAATTCATGATTTACATAGACTTTCAATTCGTTTTGTTTCAACACTTTCCCCTCTTTAAGCCATTTTTAACAAGTCAGCCATTGTGAAGGAATGTCACAGAGCTGGAAAACAACACCTCCCCTCTACAATGAGAGCTGAGAATGGCACCTTTTTGAGAGATGCAATTGTTCGTGAACTGTATTTCCATTGCTATTATCTCTATTCAAAGCTACTGCTCCTCCACTCCCTCTTCTGAATATTCTTTGTCTCCTGACAACCGAAGGCAGCAGCCATTGGGTAGACTTCATATGACTGTTCATTATTCGCAACCCATAATAATATTGGAGGCTAACAGGATGTCTGTGGATGGCTATTTTTAACAAGCAATGTGGTGAAGATAGTCAGTGGAGGTGACAAAAAAAAGAGGAAATGGAAGATAATTTTATTTTTGCCCAATTTAGGGGGAATCAGCCCACAGATTTTCTTTCTGCCAAGTAACAGTTTGTGTGTGTGTGCCAATAAGCAGCACACCCCAACGCTATGGCAACAGCATAAGGAGGCAGGTACGAGAAAGAGGGATAGGAAAGGGGATGGGATGGGGTGGGAGGAGAGAGGCTTTCCCTTTTCCCTCACTGGCAGACATGTGCTATAGCTGCTGAGCTGTCACGAGGACACACCACACACATCGCCTCTGCTCACATCAACTGATGCAGCCAGTGAAAAAAGCCCCCCCCCCCTCCGCCTCCCTCCGCTTCATCCATTCCTCACTCTCAGCCAGTTATGTGTCAATTCTTTCTCCTGGCTGCCACTTGCCAACACAGTCATCAATTTAGCTGTTTGTCTGCGGCGCGGGCAGAATCAATGGGCTGTCCTTGGAGCAGGTGTCGCCACTGCTGCAACGTGCAAGGCTGGGGCCACCTGACTGGAATATCTGGTTACATCAGTGGCACTGGTCAGTTTTTAAGCTGTGTTTGTGCTTTAGTTAATTTTGTTGAGTGCTTGATAATGGGTGGCATACCTAACAAACATTGTTCCATCAAAGACATTGCACAGTGAACAGAGCTTCCCAGAGAGTCTTCAGGTCTGATGTTATGTGCAGATGATGGGGAAGATGTGTGGGAGATCAAAGCTTTCCCGAGAGGATTCCGGTTTATCCTCCCACCGAGGGAAAGAACCAGAAGCGAGGTAGGCACGAAAAAAGAAAAAAAAGACGAGGCAGCTCTTTATATAATGGCTCACTGCATAATATGTAAGGAAACCAGAAATAACAACGGGGGATGACTCTTTGAAAAGTGTTTAAGAGTTGCCTTGAGGCTGCAGAAAATGCCACAGTATATATGCAGATTCAGACACAAACTCACACAGTGGTCCAAAAGTGCTATTACCTGCTAACAAAGTTTACACTTATGTGTCACATACATGCTGTAAAAACCCATGCTTTAATGTTTAGGTTTTTTAGGTGTTATTGCTGTTTTCTGCCATGACTCTGGAGGAAGATTATCCTCTCAGAACTCTATGAGTGTGTATGTTGTATTATTCTACACTTCCCTTTCTTGCTCTCTGTCTTTGTGAATGAATTTAAATTTGACTCTCAGTTTGATCTTTTATATCCCTGTTTGCCGTGTTCTTTATTCAATTCCCCCAGCTTTCATCTCCATATCTGCCTCTTCTAACCTTTTGCTCTAACGTCACTCTCCCTCTTTCTCTGCTTACAACAGTTGGGTTGATTCAGCATAGAGCTGAGGCAGATAAGGTGAATGAAGCCAGTGGCATTTCATTAAGGGGTGGGGGGGGTGGGGGCTGAGCTGTCCGATGATCCCATCGGACAGCTCACTGTGCAGGGCAGCCAGGCGGACAGGTAGGCAAGGAGGAAGACAGACTTGGAGTCTTCCTCTGACACCAGACTGAGGCTGCATGCTCACTGCCTCCACTATCTCATCGGGCTCTTTCGTTCTCCCTCAGTTGGCAATATCTTCTAAAAATCAAAATAGAACACAATCCTATAAAATGTTGCACAGTAATCCGAATTCAACCACTGTTTGGAAAAAAAGGACATATTCTCTTCTTTGAAAATATTTTCAGTGAGCTTAGGTTGTACTTAGAGCCACTAGTGGGTGCACTATACTCATTCTACTGGGGAGAAGCCCTCACTGTGCTGAAAAAGTTACAGGCCCTCAACTTTTTAGTGTTTTTTATGGATGAGTCTGTATAGAAACATATAAAGATAGATACTTTCCGAACTTTTCAGTGTCTAGAAGCCTAGTTTAGACAACAACAGTAATTGATCTGACAAAATTGTGCAACGTAACATTTCCCCAAGGATTTACCCTAAGTAAACGATTTCCATGGTAAAACATTCTTCTAATTGCCTAGTATGTTTCCATTTCCCTCAAGCATATTTTGAGGGAATTATTTACCCTCTAATTTCAACATGACGCAAGATAGTAATGTTGGCATCATAACAAAGAAAAAAAAGCAATGGTCTGGTGGTGACATCATTTTGTAAAGATCTGGGGAACTTTATTACGCATGAATTGTGCGTATGTTGAGTAGAGATACAGACTTCAGACAAACAGCCAAACAACCTCTCACTTCCTCTGACTCACACGTGCTCTTGTATGAACTCATACTGTAGTGTATGATCAATTACAAAAAAAAAACACCTTATACTATTATACTAAAAGAAGTGACAAAATGGTGGACCAGGATAATTACTGAGTGGACTCCCATCAATTCTATTGATCGTGGCCTACATATACACATGTGGTTTGAAGCAGCATATTTGGCTGGAGGCAAACTGTTGATAGGCTGTGGAACTGTACTCGAGTCTGTGAGGCTGTTTTAAAAGCAGAAAGCAAGCCACCATGACGGTATTGTAACAACAAATGATCATCACACAACATGATCGCTTCTGTCCACACATTTTCAGTCAGCCAATGGACTATATATCACTTTATCACTCATCCATTATACCACCAATGATGTCCTGTGTGTTTGCCCCTCACAAGTCAACAATAAACAACTATTTAAATTCCAGGAAATTTGGTTCATTAAGTCACCTTCCTCAGTTTAGACAACAGACTATCACAGACACAAACACAACAGTATACAAAACCACCAAATGTTATCAAGATTAGGTCATGCAACTAAGGAAAGCAACAGTTACCTAATCTGCACACTCTGGTAAAATAGTACTTTCCTCAGAGGAGAAAAAACACATCTAAATATGTCACCAAGACCACTTTGAAAACCTGAGCAACTCAAAGAAAAGAAGTTTTAAAGGTTTTAAAGAAAGATTAAAAGAAAGGCCAGCCTTTTGAAATCCCAACGATTATGGGTTTTTATTCGTGGCCCATCTAATTCAGTAACTTGTGTAAGCGTGCACAAGTATTATTGGATCCAGAGTGGATAAAAAAGAAAAGAAAAAGAAAAAACAGCTGCAAAAATGTGAAGCAAGCACAGAGTCTGTCCTCAATTTCCTTGCAACAGAAAAACTCAGTCAAAGCAATCAGGGAGAGATGATAAACTAATCGAATATCAATAGAAATACACACTCACCTTTTTCCAAACATTAAGTTTCCCTAATTTCTTGTCTTTCCTATCAAAGCAGCAGGCACCCATTATTGCTGAGTGTGGAGTGCAGAGCAGAGCCGGGCTTCCGTCCGTTGAGGAGTCTGTCTGAGTCTGACTACAGCATGAGTTGCAGGACCAAGCCAGGGCTCTCTGACTCTGGGCAACGCCACAGCTCCAGTGAATCACTTTCGGCTGCGAGGTCTGTTTAGGCTATACCTCACACCCTGTGCATGTGTAGCAATGACTGAATGTGTCTAAGTGTGTGTGGTTGAGGAAACTGTTTCATACACACTCCCTCCTGGGGGTGGACCCGCCTCGAGCCTCTTTGCTCCTCGTGCAGGCTGTTCACTTGCTTTCAGCTTGCAGTCACAGCTCTGATGTTTTTCCTGTCAATATCTCACTGATGATTCTGATTAACTGAGTGCTTCCTTCTTCGACGAACACACAGTTAGTTTTCTAGAATAAAAAGGAAGCCATGCAGGTCTTTTTTTTCGGTGCGAGATCAGATTTCCACACGTGACCAACATCTTTATAATGTGCCAACTATGTGAATTCTGTAAGGTTTTTAATGAGTCTTTTTTTTTTTTAAAAGAGCATCTAATATTTATTTAATATTTTACATGCTCTGCGATGGACTGGTGGACTGTCCAGTTTGTACCCTGCCTTTCGCACGTTGACCACTGGGATAGGCTCCAGCTCTTAGTTGACCGAAATTTACTATGCTTTTAGATAAAAAATACAAAACTTTTTTTAAAAAGTAATAAAAGTAACTAAATAATGTGGAATTGTGCTAACTTTCTTTCCAACATTGAAGTTTATTACATTTTGTGAGATATTTAAGCTTATACGAAAGAAATAAGGGGTGAGCAATGTTTCAATATGAATTCTTCATTGACCATACATTACAAGATTTGTGTAACTCATTTGATTTGAAAATTTTCTTTTGGTGTGGCCCTGCAATGGACTGGCGGACTGTCCTGGGTGTACCCCGCCTGTCGCCCATTGACCACTGGGATAGGCTCCAGCTCTTCCCACAACCCCATTAGGGAATAAGCGGTAATGATAATGGATGGATGGATGGAAGTTTCTTTTGGTTGCAGTGCCAAAATGCCTGACCAACTTACAAAATATTAATAAATTCAGCAAAAAAGACGTATACTAGGGAAAGGGTTTCATTCCTCTCTTTCTAGAAGCTATAAAAACAGGAGCTGATTTATCAACTATTTATCAAGAATTGTCCATTTTAGTTTCTTGACCTCTTTTATGTTAATTAACTATAGTATGCCACGGCGATTTACTTAAGCCTTATTGTCATGTAACAGGAGGTTTTCAGCCTTGAGAAGGAGAATATTACAACACACAACAGACCTTGACCTGTCTATGTCATCCATATATAACAAAGAGGACAGTCACGTACTGTGAGTCCCCTGTGGTTCAGCAGCCCCTTTGCTTCACCTTGGAGGTACAGCGAGCAGCCTCTTGTATTTCACTTCCTTCTAACTCATGTTTCATACTCTACCACAGCTTGAATTTCACGTTTTCCATTCTCAATACAAAAGATGTTAGGGGGTCACATTTGCTGATTGGCTCCCCAACTAAACCAGGTTGAACGTAGTGGCCCACATCGCAAAGGGGCTGTGGTTGTGTAATGTTTTGGTTTACGGTAAAAACAAGGCACAGACAGATCGCCTGGATATGAGTGAGATTAACTCACTGTTACGACAAACACACGGTCACATACGCACATACATACACGTAGACACAAACAGTATATAAATGCATATGATACAAACATGGCTGGTGGAGGGCTTACGTGTAAGGAGGCATTTTCTTACTCACCAAAGTCAAACCTATGAAGGAGGGTCATAAAAACAATGGGCACATTGTGCCACCTGATATGCTGAACAGTTGACCAGCGCTGTCTCAGCAACAATTCATACTCTAGTTTGCCCTTTGGAAGATCGCCTTTTCAGGGTGAAATTTCAAAGAAACTATTTTTCATTATTCAAACTTTTTCAGCGAGTTGCTGAGCCCCCCAAAAGACACATAAAACTAAGTACTGTTACAAAAACATGAAAATATGGAACAGAAAATCTGCTGAAGTGGAACTGGTTTCAGCATTCCGTGGTGTTTCGTTTTGTTCCCATGTGATTATCTCTAAAGACAGGATGATATACCTTTTGGTTTTCCCCTTATTGGTATATCTGGGAATTTTCTCAAATTGGTAAAGCTCCTTAAATCTGTTGCCACTTCTAGAGCAGTATTTGGCTTGCCATCGACAAAGTTTCTCAAATTGCTAAAGTGCTAAAAACTCAGTCACATGTCAGATTAGACTAAATCTTATCAAAAGGGAAGAATTGGGGGGAAGAGTAAATCTAATAGTCTTTTCAGAGTATGTGAATCATCCGATTGTGCTTTCTACTCTTTGCTTGTGTTGTTGTCATCCTAAAGTCTAAGTTCTAAACATCTCTACTGTGGTTCAGTCATGGCTTTGCTTCTGAAGTTAGACCAGGCCAGCTGACTTTAACGATAGGGTAAAGAAACAGCCATTAACCATCAAAATGGGTATGATGGGATGCCTATTGTCGTCTGGAAAGACAGCAGGAGATCAGGAAGGAGACAGGAAAAGAGAGTCACTCAGCCAAGGGGTCTGCAAGGATCCCTCACACACTCATTCTCTCACACATACAAATGTTCTCCCTCTTCCTCTTCAGTTTATTGTGTTTGACCCACTGTGGGATCCCTCACATCCTGTTGTCCAGTTTTATGAGAAATAACAAGCTTTTCCTCTCAGCTCATGAGACATATCATTTTGGGTTTAGTTACGCACAGCTGGTCCTCTGCTCATTCAAAAAGAAGATTAAACATCTATCCTCCTTTTTTTCCAGTATTACAAAAAATGTGATTTCTCATGTTGCAGAGTTACCCTAAAAATCAGCCAAAGAAAACATGATCTGTTAGAAAACAGTTATCTTTTAGCTGCTGATACTGTATAAGGCCTCATGTTTTAAACAGGGTGAGGAACTAGTCTTTGAGTCATAGAAATGTAAACCACTCAAATTAATATATGCAAAATGTTATCACTGCCAGGTGGCTTGGTGTCAATATGCAAAGGCAAAACACAAAGGCATTTACCGAAGCATGTAAGTGACAAAAATTTGGTTCATGCACCTTTCAACACAGTTGTCTAGATATTAGAAAATGTTCTGTTGATAGCATGCCAGATGCAAAATATACAAAACCATTACTGCAAAGTAAAAAACATATACTATCAAATCCTCAAGCTGAAATATAAAAGCTTGATAGCATTGCTAGTTTTTTGTTTCATTTGTTTTTGTAACAAACCTAGAACTGATCTTCTTGAACACAACATAGTTATAGACAAAAAAAAACACATTAGCCAATTAAACTAAACCTATTCAGGGATAAGAGAGTGTTTGTGTCCAAGTTACATAACCAAGAGATACTGAACCACTTTGTGTCCCTTTTACCAATCTTCCATGAAGCAACAAAACACTATGCAACGAGTATTTAACTGCAGAGCTTTATATTTTGGACTGAAAGAGTTTAATCCAAAGCCATGTTTTTGGCAAGCTTTTTTCACAATTGCACAGCTACCTCCTTCTGTAATAATTTATTTTTGGTCCTTGAGGGAAGATCAATTCTACATCTATTTGTATTCTTTCTATTAGTCAAATGCTTTTTGAAAAAGACCTAAAGACCTTCAATTTTGTAATCTTGATACAGCAACTAAAAAGGCACTTTTGTCATGATAAGACGATTTTGAAAGCTTAGAAATGACTACGTCCAAGTCATATTGTGATAAGTCAGAAGTTAGTATGATTAATCATTCTGCATCATAGCCTGTCAGTAAGAAACCGATTTCAGAGGCTCCTACGTACAAAGGCAGGAACTGAACCTTGGTGAACATAAAAAAAACCGTGACACAGAAGAACCAACGAACAGTGAAAACACATTTGACAGGAAACATGGAACAAGATTCAAAGCAGGCCGATATAAAATACACGCACTTCCTGTTGTGAGACTGTCTTTGCACATAAGGAAGGAAAAAAGCACTACAGAAATGAATAGAGCTTTGCCTTGGTTTAGGGAAGAATAAGCTGATGAGTAAGGTTCAATCACATGTGTGCAGGCAGCTTTAAATAAGCCTGTGCTCCCTGCAGCCCCCTTTGCCAAAGCAGTCTCCTCCTCCTTCTCCTCCTCAGTGGAAGGACTGGACAGGTTCAGACCTGACAGAATTCTGTTGACTTTACTTAGGTCATGCTCAGTTCAGCTACAGTATCTTTGGATTTTAATCACTGTTATCCATGTGTTTATTATGCAGAAGAATACATGCTCCCTGCAGAAGATTTAGAGCTTCCTCAAAGAGCATCAGCAACAAGTTGTTTTTCTTTTTCTTTTTTTAGATAAATAGCAACAAACTTGTTTAAATAAGCAATTCTCCACTTTTTTATGTTGCAAATTAGAAAAACATCAGCAACAGCATTATAACATTAAAATAGAGCGTATGCATTCAAATGTGTGGCCTTTCATACCTTGTTAGAGGCCATGTCACTAACAGAGCGGTAGGTCTGGATGGTCTCCAGCTGGTCCAGACACCAGTCCAACTCCTCCATTGTCTCCATGGCCAACTTCTGGTATGCCTCATCTGTCAAACAGCCGGCACACAGAGACACACAGTCAGAACAGACGGAGCACATGGAGCGTGAGTGCTGCCTGGCCACTCCCAGGTAGCGTACATCCAGCGGTCCCGCCGTAGGTTTCTGCCGCTGGAGTGGGGGAATCACGAGCGGCGGCAGCTGGCATCGTGAGACGTAACTGCGGCCAGGTGGTTGAAACTGGCAGCTGTCAGGAGAGCCGAGGAAAGCTGGGACCTGACCGCACTGTCACATTCAACTTTTCTTGGTGCACATGACTGTCACCCCCCACCCTCCTCAAACACACACTCATGCACACATCTGAGGCACTGAGCTAATTTACATGAAAGTCAGACCCCTTTTGCAGGAAACCGGATATACCCACCTCGTTCCATTGCTACACACAGACCACCATAACTCCCAGGAAGCCAACAAACACACGTAAATTACACACATGCAGAAACACGGATTTTCATACACCACTAGGGTTAAGAAATAATTAGTTCATTCATTCATTCATTTGTTGGCATTTGTCAACACTTTCCATATGATATACACAGATCGAGTCACAGCGCACAATTACAAATAACAATTTCTCATTGAAAAGTTGGCAGATAACAACAATAATTGGTGTCGTTGAGAAGTGGAGACAAAATGTACTGTATCCAGTGGGCTCCCACATCACTGAACTGCAGGGTTAAGGTTTGAAGCAGCTGCTATGAGGACCCAGATTGTAGTTGTTTTGCAGTTTTATGCAGGAAGCTAAAAGCCACACCACAGCAGAGATGAAAACAGAAATGAGTCGTTGGTAAATGTTTTCAGAGCAAAGCCCTTTTAATATTTCTTATGTATTTATGGATCTATTATTCATAAATATCTTTTTTGTTGACTTTTTAAAAATGTATTTTTAAGGATTTTCACATATAATGTTTTTGTATTTTACCTATGAGTTAAATCTGATATTTGTTCCTTGTATCTTAATAATTAATCAGTGTTCAGCACATTTTCTATCACCTATAACAGAGCAGTTTATCATTCTTCAGACACAGCTGCTAATCTTTAAGCTATTTCCTTTTTTCAGTTTTACTAAAAATCTACCAAATCCAAAGTTATCAAAAAATAACATACTTATATTGAGGAGTTGAACCATTGCTGACATATTCTTGCAGGAGATAAGGATCTATCGAATGATCTCTCTCGATTTTGCAGCCTTATAGACGACCACATTTCGACAGCAAAGATGAAGAGAGGCTGTCTTGGAAAGCAGAAAAGGTGTGCAAGGAGCTGGCTAGTGGGACTGAACTACCACACACACACACACACACACACACACCTGCTGCTCCAGCATTGTGTATACTCTGGGTCTCCTAGCTGCAGAGCACAACATGGCAGCATGGTTGCACCGCAGCGACCTTAACGTGGCCACGTAGAATCCATGTCCTGCTCTGATCTCATCCCCATCAAAGACCAAAGCCTGTTTGCTCTCCCAAACACGAGAGGCACCTGGCGCTCTGCCCACAGATCTCCCTCAGTCTGAAGAGGGGCCTGAGAGAAAGACAAGCGTGTGTTTGTGTGCGTGTGTTTAACACCAAAACCGTGTGATGCGAAGCGGTTCACACCTATATGAGGCTTTTCCCCTAAAACAAGTTTCTCATTTGAACTTTGAATTTGCAAGGCTGGAAAATGGGTAATATTGTTGCCTTCTGCACATGCTATGAGCATCAACCCTTTCCTTCCCTTTGCTATTGGCCTCAGTTGTAAGTCAAACTAAATGAACCAGAGCAACTTCCATAGCTCTCTGCCCTGTGCAGGTGTGCGCTGGCATGATCAACAAAGAGCCACTTCAGCAGTAGAACTACATTTGAGCCTGTTAAAGTGAGACTTTGTCGGCTGTTAATCACTTTCAGAGACTCTATTTCATCTGGTCCAGAGAGTATGGACCTAAAACTGGTCACATGGCCAACAACTTGCGGGTCCCTGCATACAGAATCTAATTTCTAAGCTGGTTCCAGACTCACTTAACTGTAACGCTTGTATAACAGCTCTACTCTGATCTCTGGCCTGCTGGCAGGCAATGCCAGTCACTTCAGAAAAAGAGATTTATGTGCAGAAAAAGTATGCTTTTGTTATGGGCTCCCAGAATTTAAGCAATAGCTCCAGCACCTTTACAATAACAAATAAAAAAGTTAAAAAGTAGAATATTCTTCCAAATAAGAATATTCTTTTGATCCTGTCTAAACCTGTATGGCAAAACGTAGTAAATTCCAATACTGTCTGTGAAATAATAGATGAAAAACAGCTTTTTTAGATTAACATTCTTGTCATCATTTCACTTTGAGTTTTACTCAACATAAACATATAAGAATAATCATAATAATCATAAAAGACTTATGTTCCAAAATATAATGCAACAAATTGATGAATCTGTGGTACAAATAGGAGTATACATATTTATATATATTTTGTTTCAGAGGGAAATGACATTCAAAGACACAAAAATGAATGGTAAAACAACCACAGAAAGGGGGGAATTCCACTGACTCCACCCGAGAAAAGGTCCTTTCTGATCAGCACTCAGACTTACAGTCAATGTCCAACCGGAGAAGACAGGAAACACACATACAGCAACACATGTACAGTCCAAACACACACACACTAGCACACATGCTGAAAGGTGTCATTACTGCGTTTCCAAACAAAAATCCATCCACACATGCACTTTCCAGCTGGGAAAGGCAGAACTAACAGTCTGTTGAGGCAGGGAGAGTTTCGGAGGGATATGAGGTCAGCACTCTGTCTTTTTTTTAACACTGAGTTAAGTTTGTTTCATGGGCACATTTCCTGGATAACACAACTTCTAAATAACCCAATACAATCTATAACTGTCACGTAAAAATGTCACATCCGTCTATAGTCACATTAAAATGCGAAGATGTTCAGTAGGCCAGTCCAAATATGTATACAATATATCTAAAATAAATACAAGACAAGACAAAAGAAAAGAAAAAATAAACACGTATTTTTTTCAGTTGCCATTTACTTAGTCTCTCATTTTATAGTAATATGCTCTTGGAGTTTGAATTGATCAAAGAAGAAAACATAGTACTGTCTCGCTGTCATAAAAATATGTGAAAGCCATTTCACATATTCCACGAGGACCTCGGAATCTCAGCATTATCCCTCCAAAAGTTATTCCCTTGTTTATCTAATGAGTCTGACCTTTATGAACTTTTCTCTAGAGCAGATGCATACTAGCAGGGGAATATTGAAGGACTATTGTGCCCACAAGCCCTCAGACCAGGCCAGTTAAAATGATTCAATATGTGCATGTGAGTGTGATCTGTAACCCTCTCCTGATACAGATAGACACAGTTTCCAGCCTGGGATGTGAAGGTCAGTTCAGCAGACTGGGCAAGCGCTACAGCCAAAATCTATAATTTAACCATGAGCAGATGATAAAGAGGTTTTTACCCGAGCAGATACTCTCACAAACATGAAGGCTCCTGGGGTCAGGAGGGGACAGTCTCTATTCACCACCCCCTTCAACCAATTTCTGCTTTTAATTTATTGGCTGGCCGTTCATCATCAAGGTTCTGAAGGATGACGTGCCACATTTCCAGTCAACAGACCACACACACATTAAAGGCAAGCCAAACTTTGACGTGGGCTGACTGGCTGCAGTGCCAAAGAGAGTATGAGGGAGCCATTCTTTAGTTGCATCTGTTGCTTTACCAGAAACAGAGGATGGGTTGATCTGAAACCGTCCATGTGGTTACACAACACTTCTTCAGAAAGACCAGATATTATGTTGAGGTGGCTGTAGCAATGCTTCTTACCAGCTCAGTTCTGAATTTGCACGTGCAGACTTGTGACTGACGTAACTGACAAAAATGTTCAAAACTGAGGAAGAAGGTTGGTGGAACTTTTGGTTTTAAGATTTTTTCCAGCGCCTCAAGCATTTTTACACATTTATGGAAAAGACAAAATTACATAATGAATCTGTGTTCCCTTAGAGTTTTTTATTTGATTTAAAAGGAGGCAGAACACTAATAGTGTCTCCTTAGATGTTATCAGAATTTTGTGGTTGTGAAGTATAAACATAAGGGAGAGAAATAATGACCACATGTTCTGTTGCAATGGAATTAAAGGGTTGAACGGAGCCACTAATGGATACATTTTTTGTTTTGGGTGTATTGCGGGCAAAAACAAGCTTGGGCCTTTTTCATGCGGTGACCCTCCAGAAACAGTAATGACACACATTTATGATGCTGACCCACACGTTGAGAATTCTGACATGTCATAAAAATTATGTTTTCATTGTATGTCAAAGCAACCGGTTGGTTAAGTAGTCATGCGTCCATAATTCCAAGTCAGAAGACAAAGCTTTTCGATTGCGATCATTTGCAAACAAACAAGGGGCACATCATTTTATTGTACATACCTTCATGACGCATTCATCTTAACTTTTAATCTAGTGCACAAAGAGGAAACTAAACTTACAAGCACCCATCAACTGCATCTCAGGAAGGAAATGACAGAAAGAAGAATAAAAAAAAAATAAAACCAAAAAAAAGTGTAATATGCTGGAGTTTAGATTTCTAATCTTCTGTTTTGTTTATGTAAAGATGCAAAAATGTCTCATATAACTTGAAAGAAAATGAGAAAGATATCTTTTATTATCAAATCACACAAAGAGAAACAAAAAAGTGAAAGATGAAAGCCTAACACCGGCATCTAGAGATGTGTTTCACTATAATCTATCTTCAGCTCAAGTTCACTTATCTGCAAACCACTTTTCATCCCCATCACGTCTTGCCTTGCACATCAGTCAGTGACGTTCATACACACAAGATTCACACATCTGCACATTGTTCACACTCAGATACACTGTGATTAAAACACGTGGGAGGTGAATGTGGGGAGGAAACTACGAGAGCAGAACATAGTTCATAAAGACAGTCTGACAGCGCAGGGTCTGAAGGTCCGTTCAAGTCTGACACTCACATCACAGGGTCTTTTACAAGCCGTTTTTAGGGCTATCTGACCGGTCACCATGTCCTTATGTAAAAATCAGCTTGGGTTTGTCGCCTCGTTCTCTCTGATAAAACAGAAATTTGCCAGTGAGGCTTTTTTCACTGTATCAACATCTCTGTTTAGTAGACCTCTGGGTTTAAGGCTGTTCTTGTTGTACACTTTCCCTCATTTTCT